GGTGGGCTTTGCATACATCAGAACAAATCATCATGAGGCGCGGGAAAATTGAACAACAACTCTGAGACATGATTAGCACATTCATTGGCGGGAACAGGTTGGGCGGGGGTGATTGGTCATTCCTAAGCGGGTACACATTCAAACTGATTGGTTTGGGCCCTGTGACAAACTGCACAGGGCCCTAGGCTAAATGGCCAGTAGGGTGTTGTCTTAACTATCTCAGGAATTTCAGGTTCTGGGTGTAACAGAGGAACTTCATAATACCTAATCTTTTACATTTTAATTCAAGCTTTCCAGCTTAGAAACTTTACCCTTTCATTCCCCACTCCTTTTTCTGACTATTTTTAATCTTAAAAGTAATGAATCATTATTGGGGAGTCTCATTTTTCATCTCTGTCAGTGGAGCATATTGCCTTCTGATTACCATGAGTTGTCCTGTGTTTCCTGGAATCTTTTTAGCATGGCCTCCATTTTAGATTTCACTCAGTATTAGACCCCTATTTATCTAACTACACTGACTACCTAACTTTAAATCTGGCTTCATTCCCCCCTCTAATTTGGGAACTCCTTACCGCTGTGAGGAAGGGGGACGAAGAGGATCTCTCTTAGTTAGTAAATACCATACAATTTACTGTTTAAGCCAAGAGGGGTGTTCATGCTGAACAAGGTTTCCCAACATGTTATCAACCACTATAAACTACTGGGAGGGTCATCTGGCATCCCAGGTATTTCCCTGTCTCATGCTGATTGGTGGCTGCTAGGGGGTTGCTATGGATCCCCACCTAGCCTGACTGAGTCAGGGACACCTTGCTCTGAAGATCTCTCCTGTTATTTGTAGATAAACAACTTAGCAGGGTGGGAATGTGCCTAGGAGTGCTCTGTGGGTCTTTCCAAGGACAAAGGTCACCCCCCCTTCCTTGGACATGCTTTGCTCTGAGGTAGAGGCTGGTTTTTCACAGGCTGCTCCTGTCTGTTTCCTGGCCATCCTGTGAGGGGCTGCCCGGAGCTCCCTCCAGAAGGGGTGTTGGCAGCCCATCTCTGCTGCCTCTCCATTTTAGCCCTCACATCTCTCACCTCCTTATTGTTCTCCTGGTTGTGGCCATCAGCCTTCCAATCCTGGCCCTCACAGGCTCTAAGCACCTAACTGGCCAGGCCCCAGCCCCTCTCAGGGGCTGATCAGTAGGCTTTCTTCTGGGTCTGCTCTCCTGACTCAGGCTCCATCCATGCAATCCCCCTACCCACCGCTTTTCAGGCCTACCCCTTCCTCCAGGGCACTGGCCTTCCCCAGTCCCTGCCTTTGATTGTCAAAGGTGGTCCCACCCTCTAAGGCCTATTAGGCAGTAGGAACTTCCAAATTGCTTTTTTTTTTTTTTTTTTTTGTACTGGGGCTTGAACCCAGGGGCACTTAACCACTGAGCCACATCCCAGCCTGTTTTATTTTTAATTTTGAGAGAGGATCTCTCTAAGTTGCTTAGGGCCTTGCTGAGTTGCTGAGGGTGTCCTTAAACTTGTGATCCTCTTTCCTCAGCCTCCCAATTTGCTGAGATTACAGTTGTGCACCACTATGCCCAGTAACAGTGGGAACTTTAAAAAGGAACACAGATGCTTAATGTCATTATCTTTGAGTACAACTCTTCTAAGAGGCACCTCATAGGGAAATAAGCCCAGAGAGCAGTGAGTAGCCCAGTGACACATAGCATGTCAGAGAAGAGCCTGTCTCCTGCACACCCACCTCCACCCAAGCCTTCCTACACCAGCTATCAGAAAAACTGGGAGCCCCACACATCTGAGAAGATCAGAGACAGAGACACTTGTGTTTTTGTGTGTGTGTGTGTGTGTTTTTGGTACTGGGGATTGAACTCAGGGGCATTTGACTACTGAGCCACATTCCCAGCCCTGTTTTATATTTTATATAGAGACAAGATCTCACTGAGTTGTTTAACCCCTCACTTTTCCTGAGGCTGGTTTTGAACTCATGATCCTCCTGTCTCAGCCTCCTGAGCCGCTGGGATTACAGACATATGCCACTGTGCCTGGCCAGAGACACTCTTCTAGAACTCACCACACAGGGGAGCTCAGCTGGGCAATAGGGGGCCCAGCTGAAGGTTTGGGAGGCACTCTAGATATCTTGGGCTCCTGATCTCCCACAGATCCTTTGCCTGGTTGACCCCTACCCCAAACCCTCTCAGCCTACATGGCAGTCTTACCAGGGGAGGAGAGGGAAGGGTGTTCAGAGCCACCAAGAGTTCCAGCTTTTCCAAGGGACACACATAAACACCCCTCAGGTTTCAGGGTCACTCCCACCATGCCTAGGCAGACATACTCGCACAGCCTCCCTTTGGGCAAACAAGTTGACCTGTCTACTGGGCTGTCTCTCTGGGAAGCCATGCAGTGGGTGGTGCTGGGTTCTGGGGTCCACTGAGGCCCAGGAGGAGACCAGGAATATCTGGAGAGGAGTCAGTCCTCTCT